TCAAATAATGACTGATAATAAAAGAAAGAGTGAGGGAGAATTCAGAGAAAACAAACAGTGAATTTTTAATCAAATAGTTAAACAAGCACCACGAAATACCTAATATACACTGCGCCACAGATAGACAGAAAGCTTCCAAAAATCAAATTTTGGTGAAGCATATTGGTAAGAATTAGCCATAATTCTTCATTACATTCAAATTATCACTAATTGACACCTTATTGGAAGCGTCAGTTTTTTTCCCACCTTCAGCGTACACAACAATTTTCTTCAGTAGAAAAAAAAACGAAAGAGAATTTAATCATCTTAGCTTGGTTCTCAGAGAAATTCCAAGCAAAGTAATACATATAAACAGTATGAGAACTTCATAGTCACTATAAGTTTCTTAATACTTCATCCCAGTCTCAACTAAAAATGCTGTAACAGTCAGTTAAAAAAAAACGACAACTCATGAGATATTTATAAGCGAAAAAAAACCGGAAAACATTCCGCGAGAAAATTTCTCTTTTACAAGAGTCTATCCGAAGATGCGCGAGAAGGAATGGCCAGAGCAAAAAATATTGCCTTATTTTACATTAAACAAGTAACAAGTCATTGGATAAGATCACACCATTAATTTCTTTATTTGTCTCACTTGGCAATTTATAGGTAAAAATTTCAAATGGTAACATAATCCCGCATTTTCACTTTGCTGTGATAATAAATTTCATTTAATTCTTTCATCTCTATCTCCGCACACTCTCGCGAAACTACCAAGAGATAGAGAGACAGACATTGTGGCAGAAAAGTGGAGGAATTGTAGAAAAATCACCTCAATATGCCACAATCTTCAATTATTACATCTTCTCTTCCATCAAGTCTTTTTGCTCCCCAATGAACAAACCGTTCCATTTCCAATCTGTCTCTTTTCGGACCGCTACTTAATGCTGACAGACTGTGTTCCATGAGAGTCACACTGAAGATGCGCACATCCGAATGCATCCCATGGCATAGAACGACAATTAATCAACCTCATACCATTCTGAGTTCGAAGGCAATCATCGTCACAAATCGATGATGCCGCCATACATAAAAATGAAATTAAATAATCTACGGAGCGGAAATTGAGAACATATCGCGCACGATGTCGAGTGAAACTGTGGCAGTGGAGTGGGATAGTGGATTTGTGTTCCAACAATCGCTTACACTCACTTATATTCTGGCGTATCTTTTTTTTCATACCACGGATAACTCTCGCCATTGTCGGAAATGGCAAGATAGATGGCAATTATATTCGTTATCAATATCGATCAATCGATTGATCTGGACAAAATTGCCATGTCGATGAAAGATTTAGTCACGGTGAGAGTTTATATTTTGCAGCTTCCTACATTCGATTGGCAACGCGCTTTCCAGCTTAATAGCAAAAAGAAACACACATGATATTTGTCAGTTCTTAGACAAAATTACAGAAACAGATTTCAGCAGGAATATAGAAATTACATAAAATACAATTAAATTTTAAATAAAAATATGTTTTTGGCCACCAACTCAAACCCATGTTTTGGCAACTGATGTTCGGAAGAGAGAGAGAGAGAGAGTTTACTGCCGAAACATATTGGTTCTTGCATAATCTTCCACAGATTTTCTGCTCAAATACTGCACTATCATCAATTCAGTCATGCAATAAGGCAATGCCGATCAAAAAGTGTGTGGGTGAAATAGAAAAGAGAGATTGAGGAAATGGCAAAATTTTCCGCCATTACATGTTGAATTAAGAAAAAAAAAGTGCCAAGAGACAAAATCAATTCGCTTTCTCTTGTGTTTTCATAACAAACATAATTTCGCTGGTGTTTCTCACAAAAATACCGAAACACTTTCGCGTATATCATGACTCTTTCTTCGCCCGCACTCTTCTATACTTGGTTAAAATCATGTAAAAATCTTTCACTTCTCTTTGGTTAGAGAAAAGAGGTTTTTCACGAAATATATCACATCACATACAAATCCATTCACCGAAAAGAGAAAAGACTGTGACGGTGAAAACACATGCAAAGAGAAGTAGTGATCACTTGAGAGATTGCAGATAAACAAGAGAGGTGAATTAATTGAGTATTGAGTCTATGCCAATGTGGTTCAATTTCTCAACATCTCAAATTAACCATCACTGAGAGAGCGTGGAAAGGTAAGAAATTGCAGAGGAAATGGTTAGAGTTTGTGATAATTCAATTGGGAAAAGAAATTGGAGAAACTTTCGTGAAGTTACAACACAAACTGCACTTAGTGAATCTGCAGCAGCAATTCATAGAACTTAAATAGTCACCATGACAATTGCCAATACTTTTCCTTTTGCGCCTTCGGCAATTAGGGCCAATATAAAGAGATCAAATTTGCTGGACATGCAAACAATGATCATGAATGAAAGTGAAACTCGCAAAAAAGCATTAACCCATTTGCCTCAAATTTATTACGTTTTCAACCAATTTTTTTTTATACATCTGCGTGCCATTTTTCGTTTCGCGACATTACATGGAGAGGCAATATATTGAAATTATCGAACAGAAAAAAACCGAAGCGAAATAAAAACATAGCCAAAGTCAGACGGTCAAGTAAATAATTGACACACACAGACACACCATATCTACTCGCATGCGTATCCACGTTTTCTGTTGAAATTTTGCGAAAAATGCTAATGGAAAACTTAATTCAATTAACGATTTTTCCTTTTACATCATCTCTTCAACTTAGATAGAGTCTTTGCAATCTTCAGCGCCGCATTGTAGAAAAAAAAAAGGTTAGTGGCAAATGAGAGTCATTTTGAGGTCTCTCAATGCGGCATATGCCAAAAAATTGCATAAAGGGAAAGTGTTTTATTTCTTCACATACATAAATTTTAGAGATAAGTAGATAGAGAGGGAGAGATAGAGCGAAATATTTCACAAAAAGAAACCCTCGCACATCATATCTTCACGCAAAAACCCCATTTGCAATTTCCTTAATGCAAAATAGTGCACAAACAGAAAGAAAGTCCTTTCTTTTCTTCACATATTGCCATGAAATTCAAAAAATAAACACACACGTGGTGAAATTTAAATAATCACCATCATGGATGAAAGAAAGATGTATTGAGAACAATGCAACAATAAAAGCTCTTCATTGCTGAGCTCTAGTTTTTATTGAATTCAACATTTTACTGCATTTCTTTCAAGCTATTTCCCCACTTATTATTATTTTTCCTCCTTTGGACACCAAAAGTGTAAACAGTCACGAAGAAAAGTGATTTCTTTTCGAAAAGACAGGATATTGTACACACAAGAGAGTCAAATTAGTGGTTAATTTTGCATTCACAAAACCATACTGTATATTATACCCTTAGTTAGACAACAAAAGACACTCGCCTGAAAACTTTATGGGAAAATTGTGCAGAAAAGTACCTCAAGTATGATTGGTGTTTGCGATAAATGCCGCAACAATTCACGAAATATCAGCCCAGAAAGGAGAGAAACAGACAGCTAAACTGTGAGATGTTGGTGCACTCAATTGGATACTTTCACTAAATATCACTTATAGTTATTTACACATTGAAACCACTACACATTTCAGACGCATTGCAATACTTATTGCGGCATACAAGCTGGCATGCTTTTAGAGAGACAGAAAATTGAGAAACTTTTCACCTCTCCACGAGATCATTGGTTCATGCTTTTAGCGTTTGCATTAAGTCTACCCATTTGGCATAATTGCAAAAACTGTGGCGTAGGTGAAAATATAGCAATAAATTTTATGACGGCATGAAAGACGTGCAAATGCTATTGCTGCATATTGGAAATTGTGACTTTATGCAGAGAGAGAGAAAAAAAAACTATTGTAGGGACAGCAAAAGACAGTGCAGTATTGGTGTATGAATTTCTCCTGAGCATTTGCAAAATGCGGGAGAGAAAATATAGTCTTCTTTTTTCCAATTTCTCACGAAGAAGAAAATATTTTTTTAGAAAATACATATCGCTTAGGTAAGGTGATTAAACCTCCTTTCTTTTCACCACCACTTTTGCTTCGAAAGTTTTCAACTATCGTGGAAATTTCAACTCAATTGAACGACACGAGTCATCGACACGTTTTGCAGAATTTTCTTTTGTTTCAGAGAAAGCGTACCAAATCAGGGAGATTGCCAATAAAATATTTAGGGTGTAAAGAAAAACATTACCAAGAATTGCAAGCATTTATGTTGTGAAATTAAGTAAGTGTAAATATTCAATATAAGATTTGAAAGGATTCTCAACATGGTCTCAATGCTCTTCATTCGATGATTTTATTTACTTTGCTCTTCTTCTCTTCCAAAGCCTGACTTTCTCCTCATTTCTCTGGAAAGCTTACAAGGAACTTTCCTCAAATCCCGACAAGGAGGTTAAACACTTTGGGTGGCCATGCCTTATCTTTTCTACGACCTTTTTCTGCCTCCTGTTCTGACCTCCTCACCACATCGCCTTGACTACAGATGCGCATCCCGAAAAGAGGACAAATACTTGACAGACAAAGAACCATACAGTTGAAAAAAAAGGGAAGAAAAAGTGAAAGATAAAGCTGGAAATTTATGTGAGCAAAGAGAGACGAAGCATAAATCTCTCTTTGTCACAACAGACACCCAACAATTCATTTAAATAACAAATTGAATCTGGTTTTGTGGTCAATTCAACTGAAACATTATTTATGTGTTGCCTCTATTACCACTTATGATGCCTGCAAGTATTGCAATTTACAATCAATAGTTGTGCATGGAAACTATTTCGATAAGTCCTTGATATGAAGTGCTTAATTCAATTTGGCAATTACAAACTGATCTGATATGGCGTTAATCAAAAGTTAGCATGTTGGCTAGAATAGAATAATTTCAAAACTTCTCGAGATAGTGAGAAAGAGTGATTTGTTTTAGGAATAAATTACTGAATAGAGAGAAAGAAAAAAAAAACATCGTAGACTTACTATACAAATTGAGAAAGAGTAACATGAAAAATTAAACTTACCATGAAATAGAGGGAGGAAATTTTTTCCTGAAAAGATTGTTCAATGATAGAATTATCCAAGAAAATTATAATTTTCATATAAAAAGATATATTCATTTGCTTTGCTAATTCAATTAATCTACATTCCTCGCATATAAACTCGGAGGAAAACTATCTTATATAAAACTTATTGGTTTTTATCTCATATTTTCTGGTATCTCGTGATGAATTTCAATCATTTTTAATTTTAGCACTGATACCGGAAGGCATGATGAGTGATTTCTCAAGTCATACTATTTTTTCGCAAACTCTCTGTGGCACATTATTAACATGAGAATTCTCTGAGCAAAGTCAGTGTTTGTGCTTCTCCATCACATCTCTCTGTCTCTCTTTCTCTCTCTCCCTTTCGCACTCTCTCATTCACAGCTAATGTGCCTCTATAGCTAACAATAATAAAGCTTCAACATTATATTGCTTGCCATAGAGAACCCCGTCATCGCATTGACATTGAAAATGTTGCCAAAATAGTGTAAACTTCTCTCTCATATATAGAAGAGAATACACATAGCAATGCAAAACAATATATGATGGTGAGTGATGTTGAAAAAAAAAATTTGGCACATGCCTCAGAAACTTCCCACTTTTTAGCAAATAGCATAGCAAAACTTTTAAATAAACACCGATTGAAATGAACATTGAGGAAGAGGAGCAATGTTATGTTCATTTTCCACCTCGACTACCCAATAATTTCAATTCAACACTCTTTTTCCACACCTCAGAAAATGCGTGCGTGTTACTTCTATGTGAATTCTAAATTAATTTGTTCGCCTGTTTCTCATATCTTTTCCCTCTCTCTGTCTTTCGTCTAATTGGCAAAAATCAATAAAACAGTTTAACTGTTAACCCGACAATGTGTTCACACTTGCAACCTCGCGAGCACAGCATCGCAGTGCGTGGAATGTTGCGCTGAGTGCCTTTAGCTTTTGTATAGGAAACTCCATTGCACAGTTGTGAGACTTTGATATAAATGCCACAGAAAAGTTACTTTCATATTTTTCCTCTACACGAGGGGAAAAAAAGCGAATGCAAAACGAGTCTTTCAGCAAAAGGTAAGGTAAAATCTTGAGAAATAGAACTACAGCCAATTGCTCAAACAAGTAATTCATTCACATCTTTCTTTCCTGTTACCATTTTGCCATGCCCCGTGACACAGAACATTATATACGAAGAAAGGAAAAATGCGTGAAACATATTTCAAAAGAAAGAAAAAAAAATCAAGTCACACTGCGATAGAGGAGTAGAAGGCAAGACCAACAGAGACTCACCTTTGCCACCCAGAACATGAAGAAATAAGCATAAAATCATCAAGGTTAAGCTCAAAAATAAATAAATTTTTCTAAGCCCTCTACATAGAGACATCCTGGTTAACAACATAGTGTTTGCAAATGTTGGCATCTGCTAAAATACCTTGACTACATAGTATCGTGCTATTGATTAGGCGACAGATAATAATTGTGCGCTTCAAAAAGCAGAACCACCCCTATCCTTGATTCACTTCCTACAGCGCGACAATTGAAAAAAATAACCTCTCTCATCCCTGTCATGCTTAACAATCTATCTCACACTTTGTATATACATTTGCTGGCTATTTTTTATTCCTCCAGAGAGCACATTATCATCATCGCGTTTAAATGCGAAACGTCTGGAAGTTAATTCAATTCGCATGACCTTGTCTCACTAATACACAGATTCAAGGATTTTTTTCTCCATCACTTGTGTATATATAGAAAGAGAACTATACATATTGAATGTGGTACTTTGAATAAACGCAAAGAAAAGACTCCAACGGTGATTGCATGAACTGAAGGGGAAAAAATACTAAAGGCAAATTGCAGTGCGGTGAATGCAAAAATCACCATTTTTTGCAATTTATACTTTTCATGACATCTCATTGCGGAACATGGAAATCACATAATAATTGATAAGACTTCAATGTTTGCGGAATTCAGTCATCTTTTTTTTTTATTTTATTGTCTAGGGTGTTCCATGAACTACACAAAGACACCCAGAGTGTGACTAGCCCGAAAAAGGTGGTCTTTCTTTTAGGATGAACAATAAAGCAATTCAGAAGTGTATCTGTATACACAAGATAAAATGTTTTCACGTTATTTATCTATCCTAAAATAGAGTGCATGATATTGAAATGATATTGTGACGCTCCGACAATCCAGTCTCTCTCTATATATCAACCACAAACAACTATCGTGAGTGTAATTAGTATTATTAAGCCAAGAGACACTTTTGTATGTCCGCACAGGCATGAAACATAGACACTCAATACGTGTGTGTTAGCATAAAAAAAAAACTATATAATAATCGAGGAAGTTATTCGAGGTCAAAAGTGAGGAGAAGTAAAAACCACACACATTTTGCCGTGATGACGTTATACTGGGTTTAAACTTTGCGATCATCATTGCTTTTAGAATTAATTGCAATATGAGAGAGAGAGAGACATGGTTGTTTTTGCCTTTTACTGCCGCAAACTTTATCACCTCTCCACCATGCTCAGGAACATCCTCGAGTATCGGGAAACTACTATGCTTTCAGCCACTGTTTAATCCATTAAACTGTGACAAATTGTTCATCATTTCGCAAGGACACGACTTTATATCACCAACCAGCACACATACTATAACACATTCGTGATTCCACCTTCAACTGCGACAGCGACAGCGTTACCGTCAAAACGCGTATAGAAAACCTAATACATATTCCACACAGTTGCCCTCATATGAGAACTCAGTTGAATTTCAGGATTTCTGCACATATCTTTAGCCCAGAATATGTCAGTGCCTTTGTTGTTTGTGAAGTATATATCTCAATCCCACTAAACCACCATGAAAGCTCGCATGTAATTCAATTAGATTATTATAATTTTGACGCATTAAGAAATTAACTAATATTTGAATGTGGTTCTCAGGAATACACTTTTGCATGGTGCCTGAATTCAGGTCGATTTGTTGATTTCTCTTGCTCTCAGACCCACTCTTTCACCATATCGCTCCTCTCACATCGTGGCCAAAAAGGTGTACAAAAGAAGTGGCAAATTGACGGCGAGGTGGAAAAAAGCGAACGTTCCATTTGACCCTCATGGTGAATGTGAGTCACCTCCAATGACCAACAAACACACCCCCAAAATCGAGGTGACACACCATCCATATATACATTGTAGGACATCCTTGAAAGCTCATGAGACGCATTGAGGGTTGCCTTTTAATTTTCTAGGCCAGCCATTTGCTCCAACATTAGTGTCACCCTCCCACCACCACCCAAAGCACTAACACCCAAATCACTATCCACCCGCGAGACTCCATCATAAGCATTTCCCAGTCATCCATTTCCTGGTATACACTCACATTTTCTGTAGGTTACTGTCTCCGTCTCTCTCACTCGCACGCACTCATATCGTGACTCTGGGTTGGCAATAAAAGTGACGAAGCTCTTTTTGCGAATACCACTCATTGTTCATATATCACACTTTAATATTTTAATGTGGTCGAAATTGAATAAAAATTGGGTCAGTGAATTACTCAAATAAGTGCAAAACCATCCAGAAATTGGGTTAATTATCCCAGACTTCTCCCTCGGCCTTTTTTTCTCAGTCGGAAAAAAGAGAACACAGCGCATATTGAGTGATATAATGGCAATACATACATGCTATTTAATCATTAGTCACAGAACTTTTTCTTCCCAATCCTGCACTGCAGACAATGCACTGCGATCTATGACGTGAATTAAATGCTTTTGAAGATATGTCAGAGAAAAAAAAACCAGCTTGCTAAATATATGTATGATCCACGAGAAGTTGTTATTAAGCTTTGACATCTTTCATATAAAAGTCACGAGGAGATTCTGGGAATCTGTTCCACCTTATTATATACACTCTTGATATATAAAACCACTCTCTCAGACTCATCTTCCTGCATCCCCTCGCTGTCACTCCCAAAAATGAAAATCCCATTTGCTCCACATGAGTCCAACACGCGCGCGTGGATTGATACAAGGTCGACGTGATAATTGAATAAAATGTACAGAGTGTGAGAAAATTATAGATTCAGCACATTTCTCCCTTCTGCTGATCTCTCACTTTTTTTCCCCCCAAAAAAAATACACTCTACATTTCAGCACGTAAAAAACGAAGTACCCAAACTCATGAATAAATTAATGAATTGTCTGTGAAATACGATATGATGGATACTTTATATTCATCTCATTTTTCCTTCTCTATCGAAATCATAAATAATAATCTTAAATAGGATTCTTCTGGTCTTTCCTTTATAACCAGAAAATTCTATTCCTCATCGGTGTCAATTGTATCATGAACATTAAAGTGAAGACGGTGAATTTGATCTCTTCGATCTAATTCAACTGTATTCAATTTCAAAATGACTGAAGAATGGATGAAAAAATTAATCTTGTCTGAACATCAATTGAGAAAACGCTTCGCTCACTCAAACCAAATTTACTCCTCAATTGAAACCTATCCATCTTGTTGAGGCTTCTCAAGAAGAATTTGGGTGGTAATTTCAATAGAATGTCATTAGGATGGGTTAAATTATCTCTAAGGTGATTTTTCAACAAAAGCAGCAACCCTCGAGACGGTTTGTTGTTATCCTTGGAAGAAGAGAAAATACACACCATGATTTCTGTTTAAATATCATTAGACACGCTTTCGAAAAAGTTCCCTCTCTTGTCCTGAAAAACATTTGCTCAGACAAGTATTACCACCCAAATTGTAAATTGATCTTGTGTGTGTGGAAAATTCGAGTCACAATCCGAGACAAAGCCACAATTTTTTCTGCCCATTCACTCAATTTATATCTACAAACTCCCAAAAGCCAAAATCTCTCTTTGCCATCCTGTCGATTCGTGGGTGTTCCACCACCCCGGAGAAGGTCAGACAAGAGAAGAAGCCGGCAAAAGTTGTACACAAATGGCGTCCTTCTTCACTCAACCATCATACTTGTGCGGCCAACACAGACATGAGA